ATAGATAGATAGATAGATAGATAGATAGATAGATAGATAGATAGATGCATCAAGTTTAGAAAACGTGTTTCCTTCACTGTAATGCACATTTAAAGGATCAAAGGTTTGGTTTTCTTCTTAGCGCCTTGCATTCAGGTCATAAAGAATTCTACTGCAGTAAAAACAGAACACATGACAAACAACGTGTTGCTTCACAAGCCTCTAACAAAAAGAGGAGGTTGTAAGTGCCTGCATGTGTTTTTTTAAAGACTGATATTTTATTCTTTGTTCTTTTTGCTTTAATGTAAGGGTTATACTTTATGAGAAATGTCCCAAACCTCTAAGTTTGAGATTTAAAAGCATCAACACTAAAAGCTCCTTTAGTTTTAGGTTGTAAATCAAACGTAAATATAGTATGTGGTTTACTTTGTTTTAAATAAAAATATTTTTTTAAGTATATAAGTCATTAATTTCTTTATCATCTTGTCAAATTCAGTACTACCCTCTTCATTTAAAAAGCCTGTGGTTAATTTTTCCTTCTTTCACTTAATTTAATCCTTGGGATAATAGAAAAAAATCGAAACCAGTTAAAACATGAGAGGGCAGGTCAGCCATCAATGAAACCAGAAACTGGGACCATTTCTAAACATGTCTTTTCATGTAAAGCACATTTTTATTTATTTTTACGTATTCATGTTTAATTATTTACTGGAAAACTAAAATAAAAAATATAAAACACTAATGCCAACTTACACTCACAGACACACTCAATCTAACATCTTTTACATACCAAGTGTGCAGAACAACATACACATTATGATCTTGCTTTTTTTTTTTTTTTTTACATTTTATTTACAAAATTATCATTTATACATATATTACATATTAAACAAGAACAACAAAAATAGAGGTTTGACAGATAAAGTTTAGTAAATCTGCATGAGGAAAGGAAGAGAAGTTGTCTTCCACCAGAGTGCGCTGTGTTCAGTTTTGACAAAGGCAGGAGGTGATGGATAGGACAGTGCGAATCTGTCCATGTGGGTTGATGAAGCTGTGGCTCTCATACCCCTTAGGAACACAGGAGCTGGACTGTCTATCTGACCACAAGAGGCAGTTTTCCTCATCAGATGGACTCCTACAGCAGCAAAATAGAAATAAGAAAAATCTAATCAATACATTAAACCTGTGCAAAAATAAATATTTTAAGTATTTAGGCCAGTAACAGTCAGCTTTAGTGGAAATGTGAAGGTGAGGCTACTTTAAATATCTGTCTAAAGCTAAATCTCTATTTAGAAACAGTTAAAACATCATTTCTGTTGGTTCAAAGTATTATAAAGAAAGTAAAATCAGACCAAAAGTATTCAAAACATATATCATCAAAAGATTCTTTACAGTATAACTTTGTTTAATTGTTTAATAACCTACAAGTTGCATATCACTGTGAAGCAGAGCAGGAAACTACGATCCTTAGATCCTATTGTTTTCTATTTCATCTGGTTTCAACCACTGACTTCAATGATTTTGTGGGAATGTGAAGTGATGAAGCAGCACAGAGCAGAATATATTGTAAGGACAAAGAAAAATCATGATTTTAATGTGTTTAACTCCATAAAGTGTGGCATATTTCTGTATTACATCCCCCTGAGTCCCTTTTCCTTCTTCTCATACAAATAGCTCAAACTCAGTTGCTTTAATGAGAGCATCTTTAAACATTAATGCACAGGTTTTCCCACAGATTCTCAATTGGGCTAAAGTCTGGACTTTGAATGGACCATTAAATACCATGCATATGGTTTGATCCATCATTTTCCTTAAAAAACTGCAGACTTGGCTGCTTAAATCCTAACAACGCTGTAAATCTTCCAGAGCTTTCTACCTGTTCTCTCAGCTTTGTTCTTTACACATCATCATGCAGTTTGTTTACAAGTACTCCCTTAAAAATCCTCTGAGGCTTCTACTGAACAACTGGATGACTGACTTAGACAGTGGAGGACTGTGTTATCTAGTTTGGTGACTTATGAAAGAATTCCTTGCACAGAGTTTTATGCAAAAGCCTTTTAACCAAATTTTGAAAACCATGTCTTCTCTTCTTTTTCTACCTAAATTTGTGTTTCCGCTATGTATGCATAACATATGGTCAAAGTATTTCTAAACAAATAAAAAAAAAAAATCTAAAGTACAGAGAAAATCTGGTGAAATTCTTTGCATCTTTTCTCCTTCAGATGCAGGACAGAATACAAATATAAAGCAAGGATTTAATCCCCTAAAAAGACGACTAAGTGCAGAAGGTGTTAGAGCTTACAGGCTGTTGTTACAACTAGAGAGGCAGGAGGAGGTGTGTGTGTGTGAGTTCATACTGACCTGAGAAGGCATCGGCTTCCTGTTGTGCAACCTCCCAAACATCTGCCTACATCTATTTCCTGCAGAGAATTAGCAACACAGAGAGAGAGGGGAAGTCAGACCACAGCTGGCTGCAAATATTGACCCACTTTGAGCTGAGGAGCATCTGCTATTTAGAAAGATAAAAGCGCTTTGATTCGACACCTGCAGGGGCCATTTGGGTTTGCTAGCTCCATTCTCACATTTGGTGCAGAGAATCAGTAGAAAGCAAAAACCAAAACAGAAACAAATGATCCTCTTGTTTTAAGAAAAAATATTTTCTTGTATTTTAGCAAATTTGAGAGATCTTTTTAGTTGGTTTTGCTCCTTAGTTAATAAAAAATGCTGAATTAAAACAAAGCAAATCTTTTTAAATTGAATTCCATGAATGAGAGCAGCTCAGTAACTGCTGAGAAGCTTTGCAGGACATAAAAACTAAAGAACCAAAATAAATTATTATGCAGCAGCTTTGATACAAAAAGGATTCAAACTCAGGAACCACAGCAAAAACCACAGATAAGGGGAACGTATAACTTTTCTACCTGTGTTACAATAGATAACTTAACAGAATTGCACATTTGCACATGATTTTACACAGTTTCTACCTTAGTCAGTTAAATAACTTTCTGCTGTCATTTTGCACATCTCTGATGTTACTGTAAAAATATCCATAGCTGTATATTTGTTATTTATTCTCTTTACAGTACAGCATTTTATTGTTTATCTTTCAATTCTTCACTATTATTTTATTCTTACACATCACATTTTTCTTAGGTCCATACATGTGTGTCCATTTTTTCTATAATCTTTTTGCTGCTGTAAACACCAGATTTTTCTCAGTGTGGGACAACAAATAGATTTTCTATTCTATTCTATTTTTCAGAATCACCCTCCTCCTTACAGTATTGCTCTTACATTGGATTTTTATTTTATTCTTATATTTTAGTTTTTCATATTTTTTTTTTTTTTAGCTTTGTGTGATCTTGCATGCTTCCACTTTCTCTTTATTGCTGGTACACCCTTATTTCCTCTTCTAAAAAATGTTTCTTTGTTACTTTTTTAATCTCCTTTCCATTTATAAAATGCTACTGTTGCCTATTTCTATGTTAATTCTTTCTCTGTGGGTCTGAACATCACTTTCTGGTGGTTTTCACACTCGCATGTGCGGTGCCAGCCTCTGAATTACCCTGCTAGAGTGCTGACTTCCCAGGATGCTTGTCTGATGCATAAAAGCACTTCATTAGAGTCTAGCACCCAGCTAAGGCCTCGTTTCCTCTGCTTCTGGATCACAAAGGCTTGTGAAGCAGGCATCTTAAAGGATAGACTTTGAATCCACCACGCTATTCTTTTTTTTTTTTTTTTTCCTCATCTCACTTACTTTGAGCCTCTCTTCTCTGACTCCATCGGCATGGTGGACTGTTTCATAGTAGTACTCTATGTAGGGGATCCTGTAGCAGCTCTCCTTCAGTTCACAGGCCGCCACCGTCTGGATCACATCCACTTTGTTGGGCGTTTCCAGTAATGCTGAGTCAAACTTTGTGGGGACACAGGAGAAACCACCTGGAAATAAACCATGAAGGAAAATGTTAACTGGAAAGTAAAGTGGTCCAAATCAAACTAAAAAACAAATCTGGGTTCCTAATTGGATTTTAACTAATTAAACATTTGAAGAGCCTAATTAAGCTGTACTTGAATAATTTTGTGTATTTTAAGTGCTTTTGAACAGTTCAAAACTGTTGGTTCTTAGGGCAAGATTAAGCAGGAATATTATATGCACTGAATGAGGTCCTTAAAGATTGGATTATATCACATCTCAAATAGATTGTAATTAATATCAACAATGTTAAACATTTGTGCATAACAGTCATGCTTTGGTAACCAAGGAGCAGAAATCAAAGGATATTTTCTCTATACATTCAAAGTTAACTGAACTTAATAAAAGTTTTTCTTTTGTTGTTGCTGAATAAATCTTTATGTATATAGATGTAGTTATGAATGTGCTTGACTTGGCTTGCTTTAAACTCATTTGTTTATAATACTTTATAATAGCAGATGGGCTGTATTGCTGGCAGGGAGGAGAGATTGTTAATATTATAGCATGGAAACAGAACATACAGACAAACAGAAAAAAACATTGCATATATTTATTTTGGACTCATGCCCCATAAATAAAGGTTTTAAAATAGATAAAAAAAAAAAAAACATTGTTAAATATGTGTGTTATAAACTTTTAAATTATGAACACTGTATTTTAGAAGCATTGAATGAACATTCAGCACACATCGAGTTAATAATTTTCCCTCTGATTATCTCTGGTAAGTTGCCACTGTTTAAATAATGAAAAAGCTTTTTTTGTTTCTAAATTTTATCATAAAATTGCCAGCATTCTTGGTCAATTAAGGCATCAACATTGATACTTTATTATTAATCATCACCAGATTAAGAATAGCAACACATTTCAAGAATCAAACCCAAAACCCAATATTTTGATGCATATCTTGTCATTAAATTCTTTTACTGATCATAAAAAAAGAGTAGAAATCAGGAGTAAAGGGGGAAAAAACTGCTTATACTACTAAGTTCAATAATGATGATCTTTATCACTTTGTACATTCCACCTTAAGTTGGTATTAATCAATGCTGAGGAGCATTTTGGGGCTGAGGGTCTCGCTCAGGATCCATAGTGATAGGCTGTGGGAATAAGGAAACTTACAGCCTTACCAGAACACAAGCGCCCTCTGCTGGTGGGGAGGGAGACCCCAAACAATCCTTAGCATGTATTTTAAGGCCAGAATCTGACTGTATTGTCTCTATAGGATTCATCCTTAAGATGATATGTGTTGTTACTTGGTGCTATATAAATAAACTGAGTTGAATTAAGAAGATTAAGATGTTTCTAGAAATGGTGCCACATTTATATGGGTCCTTTTCTACAGTTGATAAAAATTAACAGTTTTTTAAACTTTGCCTTAAAGTGTTTTTGAATGTAAATCCTGTATTGTTAGCTATCCGTGAGGACATAAGGAACATTTCAACTTGAGAATTGAGACAAAAAAAGATACAAAAAATAGTAAACAATCCAAAAAGAACAAGGTGGCTTTCTGATAATCAAGAAAACAGCCTTATTTCATTTTGTGCCATTAAAATAACAATACATGCAATATAATTTAATAATATTATTCACAAAAGAAGTAGTTTTATGTCTATCATTGTACTTTTAGACAACAGTGTTTACTCGTGTCTTCTTTCATTTCATCATGTTTTAACCACAACCTTCAGCTGATTTTATGAGGGCTAAATGTCATCAATGATAGATTATTGTGAAATGGAAGAAAATAATAAGAATCAACCCTCCATAACTGAACACCTCCTCTAGAAACTCAAAGAAATACATGGAAATTAGAAGACCAACTGAAAACCATGTTGTTAGTATATTGTATTTCATTATTAGAATATTATCATTGATAAATATTTCACTGTGGATTGTGATTATAATGACATTATTATTGTCATTATTTTTTATTCAGTATTAATAAAGATTTTACTGTGATAATGAATATTATGATCTATATTAGATATTTTGTTGAGTTATGATTTACATAATAAAGCTGTTATTAAATATTATCATTAATTAATACACGTTTATTTATTTATATTTATTATGATGTATTGTTAAGACACTTTATCCACTTGCAGTGAATGCTAAAGTTAAGCTCTGTCTCATTAAAGGGTTTTTGACCTGATAAGTTTGCCTAAAAGTCTTCCAAAACTTCAAAATATGTTTTTATTATTATTATTATTTATGCAAAACGTGATCACTTCTTTTAATTTCAGGTAAAAATAAGGATAACTTAAGCTTAAAAATAATAAAAGTTCATTTTATTTTCATTTTACTGATTAAAAAAGTTTAGCTTGGTGTGTATTTATATTCAACTCCCTTTATTCAGACCCCTCTAAATAGAAGTCCGACTCAATCTCTGTAAAACTCTGAAATTAAAAATCTAAAGAAAATAATCTGCCTTTCCAGCTAACCTGACAGGCAAGCCAATGAGAACAATCAGTAGGTTGGAGAAGCAGCCAGGAGGAGCTGCAAAGGTCCACAGGTCAGGTGAGAGTATGTGTTGACAGGACAATGGTAAGTCTTGAGTTTCACACCTCAGGCCTTTATGAGAAAGGAAAAAAATCCAATCCATGTGGTTGACAAAGCAGACATGCATGCAAGAGAGAGCTCTGATGAGATAAAACCCAAACTGAAAACCCGGCCTTCATTTTAAACTGTCTGCACACTGAACAGGCTATCTCCATGTCTACACTTGGTGGTGGTGGCATCATGCTGTGGGATTCCGTCTTTAAGCAGCAGGAAAGTTAAAATGAAAAGACAAAACGAGCGAGGAAAACACCATCCAACAGGAAAACAAGCAGATATAAACCTAAATGACCAATTTACATTCAAGCTTGTGGTTTTAAGTGAGCGGAAATATGGAAAATGGGTGTGAATACTTTAGAATAACGCTTTTAAACTCAAGCACAAACCTTCGGCTCCTTTCGAGCGAGAACATCCTCCCACGTCTATAACCGCCTCGTACGGGGTTTGGAAGTAGTAGGTCCTCAAAGCTGGGACTCTGATGCACTGGCTTAGTTTGATCTCACACTGACACTCCTCGATCACCTCCACCTCCCGGGGCCCCTGGAACAGCAGCAGCCGCTCCACGCGCACCCCCGTCGGCTCGCACAGCTGGTCCGCCCCGCAGGAAGGCAGCCGGTTCAGGTGATCTGGGATCTCTGGAGCTGCCGGACCGCGAGTCCTCATCTTAAGGAAAATCATTAAACATGTCAGAACATGTTGCTGTGCTCATCAGCAGCCCGTTTGGGGAATTTTATTGTTAATATTATGCAACATGGGGGAAATGTATTTATACAATTTTCTTTCCTTTATATATTTTCTTTTTGCATTTTTTTAATATGCAGCATCAATATCAGATTTTCTAACAAACAATGAAGGATTCTTTAAAGATTTATTTTATGACAGCAAGAACAGAGTTCCTAACTTGTAATAACAAAATCACAATGCCCCCTTGTGGTAATAAGTGGGACTGCAGCATACCTTTTTGCTCCTTAGGAATTCCAGCATTGAGGAATGCTTTGAGTATTCCTGATGTCTTGCTTCTTGCGATGATCTAGTGGTTATCCCGCAATGTGATCTGCACATTCCTACATCTACGCTGACAGGACTCCCTGAAATATCTAAGTACCCAGAAAGAGGGTCAGGGGTAGATATATGGAATAAAAAAACAAATATCTACTTCTTGCATGTGTGTTTCCTTACCTTGCCCGATGTACACAAAGTGACTCTGCCTCTTGCAGCACGCTCGCTGTGTAAAAAGGTTTCTGTGATCGAGGTGTTTGCTTAGTGTTCCACTCACTAAAGAAAACACAATACATGCATGGATCCATGCTGTCATTTTAAATGGAGCTGCATCTCAAACATGAACATTACATCTAAAACAGCTGTCAACTAAAGGTCAAGCTAATCCAAGCTCTCATTCTTTCTGTTTTCAAAATATTTTTTTGTTATATGAACATTGCAATCCCTTCATTCTAGGAAGATCAAATCATTTAACATGTATTTACTACTTTGTTTGGTTAAATAAACTGCTGCACTAGAACATCAGTACTTACATGTCAGGTGAAGCACACACAGGAAAAAAAGGAAAAGTTGGAGAACATCCATGACTCAACTGAATGTGCTCCTCAGTGCTGCTCTGCTTACTCCTGCCTCAGATATTTATAGGATCAAGCTTCTGCCTAAAATCTCACCACAAAGTCAGTCTTTAGTGGCCAGAAAAGGGAGAGCTAATCAAATTTCCATGCTGAATGCCTTAAAATGCAGGGCCCACTTCAAAGAGGAATCTCAGCGTCTCTGGGGTTTTTGATGCTGTTGTTGTTTTTGCCCACAGAGGATTAGATATGTTGACCAGACCTGAGCTCTCACTAATGAAGGGGCTTATAAAGGCCACAAACCATTCAAAGACTCAGCCTCAAAGGCATCAATCATCTTTTATCTCAGGAGGAAAGTGTTTAGCACCTCTGACTTAAAACAAAACTAGGTCTAAACACAAAAACAGGCTCAGCAGGGGGTGCGAGGCGTGATCCTCATCTTCACAAAACTCCAGCACCTTTGTGTTTATTCAACATGACACCAAATGGTCAGACCTCATCAGAGCCAGCAGAAAACTCTGCTCTTTTCCCTTCATCCACAAATCCTGAGTAAATCTGTGCTTGCTATCCCTTCCCCAGAGGCTGCACTGCAATGATATTTGAGGAAATGTTCAAAATTAACCAAAAACACTTAGAGAATGAACACAACCATTATTAGTCTTATAAAACTATTCATATACACTTCTAACATGGTTGCTGCTAATTTGCTACTGGCTGTCTGAATTAAGCTTAGATATTATATTTTTTGTTTTTAATAAAAAAATCCGGACAATGCTATTTTGATCCCACTTTTAACTAATTTATTATGGAAACAATGCATTGGTTTATTATAATTTTCTGTTTTCCAAATATCCACCAAATTAAATGATTTTAAGAAAATTCTATTTTATGATCATTAGAATATCAATGTTGCTTACAGTTCTGTGAGCCACCCATCTTCTAAAAATAATTTCTAAATGTTTGTTTTTATATCTTTTCCACTTAAGATTATTGTAACATTTTTTTATTATGTCCTTCAATAAAATCCAAAATAATGATTAATATTTATTTCAGAATTATATGCTGAAGTAGTTTTAAAAGAGTGAGCTGTTTAAATAAAAATAAAAAGAATGAAAAGATACATTATTTTTTTTGCCTTATACGTTATACTTTTTCAAGGATCCCTTAGGAGTTAAGAATATTTTGTAATATGAAGTAATGCACTTTCTTTCCAATCAGTTGCTACTTTGATGTGCTGATCTGACATCCCCTTTTATCTGACAGCAAACAACCATTGTGAAAGAAGCCATCAGACATTCACTTAGAGTTATGTACCTACTCTCTAGCGCTCTCTAATTTGAATTTTCTTCCAAAAGCTATAATACATGTTCCCCTTCCCTCTGGGCTGGCAGCTATTTCTGCAGTATTTTTGATGGAAATGTTTAATATTGTTTTGTGACCTAACTTTACTGTGTCCCTGTCCTGTCTTCTTGTGTGCTGCTTTTGAGTTTCTACATCATCATGTTTGCATGTGTTAAAAACCCAAACACCCAATGCCCAGTGTTAAGCACAGTAGAAGATCTGTAATGCTGTGCACCTGTTTCTCTTCCAGGGATTGTAGAGGATTCATCTGAGTGTATCGGATGAATCAGTGCATTTAAATGAAAGGAAGGTTGGACTTTACCCCAGGAAAGTGAAAGGTGGGTCACCATTGTTTTTAACATCATAGGGATCCAAAAATAATAGTCTGATCAAAACAAAAGCATGTCCGTACAAGTCCCCAGGGCAACCATTTATAAAACGTTTGACGTAAGGATGAGGAGAGCTTTAGAGGGATGCAGGAGAGAGATATTGTCCAAAACTGATGATCAAATATCACTTTCTCTGCAATAAAAACCTTTTCATAAACATCAGCAACATTATTTGTTAACATTGATATTTTTCATTGAACTCTGATCAAATTCTTTCACTTTGAGACCATCCTACCGCAGTAAAACCTTTAAGGTATAGTACATAGTTTTGCATTGTTGAGATTAACTACAGAGAGAGCAGTGGAGTTCATTTCTATTCCCTTTAGGGATCCTCCACCTTTAAGAGGCTTTATTCAGCATTGCACGTGCAAAGATCTTACTAGAGCACAGATTATAATGAGTCACCTGCGACATGAGCAAGCACTTTATACAAGATAATATCCAGCGATAATCCAGTGGGAGCAGTCTGTGTGCAGCAGAGGTTGGCGAGAACTACTGGCGGGAGACATCTGCGTGCTTGTGCTGACTGTCTGGTATCACGGTCAGTGTCTGGGTCGCTAAACTGCTGCGTGACCTGGTCACAAAGAGGCCTATTCTTTTAATATACCTTTGTGTGAAGTCTTATCACTTGCCAAACCGTATCATTAAAGGAAAAAATATCTATTTTCTCTTTACATAGGATTTTAACTCTGTAATTTATTTTGTGGGTATTGTGCCATCAACAGCTAATTTTAATGTAAACCAAAATAAAATGTGATTAGCATAAGTAGTTATGAATATCCAAATGTGGTGATTTATAATTTGAGGGAAAATAGTGACTCAAGCCTAAATTAAAATGGTGTTGTCAAGCCGTCACCACACTTTTCCACCCATCCTATTATCAAAAAATAACTCCCCCCAAAAAATATAGCATCCTGACTTTTACTATCAAATTTGGTAAGCTAAAAATAGAATGGGGAATATTAATTGAAGATGATATATAATTAACAGAGGCTCCAGTTTTCATCTTTAAAAGAGCTGAACATTTTAATTAAATGGATGAAAGAGCACAAAGATAACAAAAATAGTGGATTAATAACCTGCAGCATTCATACAATAACTGCATATAATAGTTGCACATATATTTAAGATCAGGTGGTATGTTTATCTTAAGTTCTGAAGAAGTCTCCAAAGGTTATGTATTGTTTATCTGCATGGGAGGAGAACAGCACAGGAGGGGATTATAGGGCATTATGTAGTAGTTTTGGATTAATAACTCTGAGACTACTCTGCTAATCACACAGCTTGTGTAAAGGTGCCAGTGTACAGACGTATAGCCTACTCCTGATAGGAAGCTGACTTTTTGAAAAAAGAAAACTTCTAAAAGATATTTTTCTGATGCATGCTCTACAATTTTCCAGTCAACCTTTCATTTTGAATTTTAGGTTTGAGAAATTTGTTTTCCTTTGTTCTTCACTGTATTTACTTAAATTGTGGAAAAAGAGGTTCCACACTTCCGGATCGGAATCATGTATTTAAACGACAGAATTAATACAATAAACACCGAAAAGAGCAAGAAGAACATAAAAGGGAAAACATGTAAGTATGGATACAACTTTTAATCTTCCATCATTGCAGAAGGTATTTTATTCTAAATAATTGCAGTCAGAATGTATTTGAAATCACCTTATATCCTGTTTTTCAATGTCAGGTTCCTATTTAAAGTCAAGCGTTCATCATGAAGAAAAATCACCAAAGGAGAACAACAAAGTGGAGCGAAACAGAAAAGCGACAGAGGATGAAGAGTCGCTGCAGAGGACAACCTTCGGAAAGGCAGTGTTCAATATGACCCACTCAGAGAGGGTGATGGATGATCTGACATGTGGACGGCGTGTCGGCTTTTATGAGCTGAAGGGACAAATTGGCTCTGGTAACTTTTCCCAAGTTAGACTGGGAATACATGATCTGACCAAAGGTGAGTTTTTGGATACTTTGGCAACTTTAGTGACGACTGAAGATCAACAGACGTAGAGCTTCTCACCGCATTACTGGGACCCCAAAGAAGAATGCGTGTAAAATCTTAATACCAATTAAAATGTTGCATTTTTTTTTTAAATCTGGTCAATTATTTATATATACATATATATATATATATATGAATTGAACTATTCTGCAGAACAAAAGCCTACAATAAATTATTCTTGTGCAGGATAAATAAATGATAATAATTCCATTCTTACCGGTATTTAAGCTTTCTAAATGTGACGTCAGTGTTGTTACATAAGCGTAAAATATGTGAATATGGTGTAAAGTAAGCTTTTTTTCAATGATATACTTAAACCTTTAATGTGAAACCTCCCAATCATAGTTTGAAGAACAAAACTATATAAAGTCTGCAGTTTATACAGGAGGGGTGTTCATTTTTTTCCTATTTCTACTTCCTGTGACTCACCTTTTTATTTTTTTTATTTTTAGATACTTTGCACTGCTCAATATCTGGGATCACGTGTTTGATGGGAACTCTTTAAACGCTTTAAGATTAATGCATAGACATCCAGCTGAGCTCAAGGAGACATAGATCCATTAGTCTGGGTCATTCCACATGTCAGAAGACATGACTAATCTCATCAGTCGGTCCCTAACTAATCCATAATGTTTACATCCTTGTCTGTCATGTAACATGGTAGCCATGTTGTGAGCCGCTTCATAAACACATGCTGTTTTATGCATTTTATTTATTTAAGAACACTAAAATGGCAGGATGAAGCTTAATACTGATGTACAATTTTATGTGTTTTGCTTGATTGCATTTTTCTATGTCTTCATCTGATAGAGAGAGTGGCAGTAAAAGTCCTGGATAAGGAGCGTCTGAACAAACAGGCCCAGACTCTCTTTGCCTCCGAGATCAGCTGCATGGAGAGATTTTCCCATCCTAACATAGTGCGCCTGTATGAAGTGGTGGAAACATTTAAACGGCTTTACCTGGTGATGGAGTATGCCAGTGGAGGGGAGCTGTTCTCCAAGATCACCACCAGAGGACGCCTCTCGGACCTGGAGAGCAAGCTGGTGTTTTCACAGGTTCTCTCTGCAGTGAAGCACATGGTGAGTGAGACAGAAGGGGGGCAGAGTGGGTGTTGGCTTTTCTGGGAAAACGAAAGCAAAGAGAGTGAAAACAAAATGCCAAACCGGCTCATACACCGACTTGCCTATGCTCTGGCATGATAATGTTCAAGGCCAAGTATTGTAGTCGTCTAGGACTGTGTGATTTACTGTGCCATGCAACAGTATTTTCACCAGCATCCAATTTTTTTCACATTACAACCATAAAACTTTATGTTTATATTGTCTGGGTTTTGTGTAATAGACAACTAGAAAAAGGAAATAAATGCATCTATCGCTTATCTATACCCAGTGGTCATTGCGGGACGGAGAAGAGAGGTAATTTGGTAACAGTTGGGAAATACCCTGAAAAGGTCACAAATCCATAAGAGGAAAACACAAAGATGAACACCACAAGGACAATTTAGAGCAGGTGTGTCCACAGTCTGTTCTCGAGGGCCTGCCGCACTGCTTGTTTTAGAGGTTTTTATGCTCCGGCACTCCTGATTCCCTTTGATTGTTGATTAACAGGCTTTAACTGTGTGTTAAAGGCTGGTTATATTCCCGCAGCGGTGTGCCGCAGTGAGATTGTCACAGATATTTTTGATTTATCCCCAATATTAAAGGGTGGTCTGCGCTATGTTGTTCCACGCCACAACGCAAGAGGGACAATCATGAACTAGCTGTGGGTCTAGATACGGCCAAGGCGGGGAGGAAGTGGGGGCAAGTTTGTGCAACAATGGAGGGACATGAGGGCGAAAAAGAGCAGGGATCCAGGCAGATAAAGGGTCCCAGCGTTTTCGCACCTCGCCCTTCTAGCTGGTCCTACTTCACGAGTCCTTTTCCACAATGGCGGTCATAAAAACAAAACAGGCCAGTAAGGTACCAAACAGGAAATAGGCATAGTGTAGAGCGGATGTAGATTTGACCAATTGGAGGCAGATTTGGCCAATCTGTCTGCAGCACTGTCTGCAGACACCTACAATTTTGGAGAGATGCACCAGAGTGTCTGCGGAAGTTGCGTGGGCTCATTTGAGTTCACTGTGACACACATGCAGATGACCTGCTTTCTGAGTATAAACCAGCCTTAAATCAGCCTTTAGGTGTGTTAAAGCTGCGAAAATTCAAAAATTTGCCCTTAAGGTCTGACATCGGACACCCCGGATTTAAAGAGTCCTGCTTGTCTTGTTTTTTGAAAGCTGGAATTCCTGGAGAAGACTCACACATTCACAGGGAGGACATGCAAACTGCATGTAGGAGTGAGCAAATCAGGATTCAAACCAAGTACCTTTTAACTGACAAACAGCTCTGCTACCGACTGTGCCAATGTCCAGCAAGAAATGAATTATTTTGATTAATACATAGCAAATTCATAATAAAAATCTGATTATGCTGTTATCTGTTAATAATTTAACAGATTATACAAACGACAAATGACAAACGACAGCCTAAAGAAGTCACCTGATTAGTAAATAGGGTCTTCTTGTTTTTTATAATCTCACAGCTGTTCTTAGAAAGTATTTTGGATAAAGAAAGACAATAGAAGTCCTGTTTAAAGGAGTCATCAACCAGAAATCAGATTTTTTTTTCAAAATAAAATGTGTGTGTGGGTGTTGGGCATCAGTTAAAACCTGCCAGATAATACGGAATGTGGAAGTGGTTTGTTTTTTGCCATGTGTAAACACTCTTTGTTCATACCAGATAAGCCCACAAGTGCGCACGCTCCCAAACACAAGATTCTGGCTTTGTTGATCTAATGACATCAGTAATTTCAGCTACATAATATAAGCCATGCTTATCTCTCTTCCACCACCTGAAGTTGTGATGTTGATCTGTCAACATTACCATAGAGTTGATGTTGAAAGTAAAATGACCAACGTCACACTGATATTAAATGCTCCATTGTTGGTTGCAAACACAGAGAAGAAAACATTTCCATTTTGCCAGTTGACCAAACTACCAGTAAATAAAGTTCACCTCTGACAGCAATGTTCCAGTGATTCTCCCTGCAGCTCTTATTGTGTGTACTGCATATTTTCGCCTATTATTTTTTTGCTACTCCAACAATCAGGGACTCACCTGCAGTGCAGTTGGTAAGTGTTCCTGCTTTACCTGTTTTTTCTTTTGTAAGTCACCAGGAAACGTTTGGAACGATCCATGGAAACTTGTTAATTTTGCTAACACATTTCCATGTAATTTACAGATTTCAATTGTGTATTAATTTATTCGTTAATCTGCGAGGGGGATGTTTGTAAACTGCAAGTTTTTCTGTGAGTGCACATGTGTTTGGGTAAAGCAATGTCATATAAGGGAGATAATTCCTTCATCCACTGCTTCTACCTCTTTATTTTCTGATTCTGACTCTGGCTCAAATATAAGCCTTAATCGGACTGGATTTGATCTCTTGATTTTAGATTTTGTTATTGTTTTTTTAACGTATCAACGTGTGTAAAACCCAGCCAGCTCCCATAACCACTCTCACTGGAAAAACAATCTAGGAAAAAGTAAAAAGTTCCTTAAATTAAGTATATTTACCCTTAATTTGAGTAGGTAAATGAGACAGTTTGCCAATGGAATGAGTATTTTTTTTCTCTTAAAATAAGATAATTAGATAATATGAACTTTAAATAAGACAACACAATTGTGTTTTCTAATTTTAAGTGTAAATTGTCTTGTTCCATTGGCAAAATGTAACTTTTACCTCCTCTATCAAGGAACAAATGCACTTAATTTAAGAAATAATTACTCATCTAGATTTCGATTTTTTCCAGTGCTGTTCTTCTTCCGACCAATCACCTTATCACAGAGGACATGAACACGCAGACTTATAAGTCAAACTTTCACATTGCAAAAAAAAAAAAGGCAAAGTTTCCCACTTACCTCCTCAATTCAAGAACAAATGCACCTCATTGAAGAAAAATGTATCTAGATTTCGATTTTTTCCAGTGCATGAGTACTATCTAGAGAAAAGAAAAAGGGAGTTTCAATGAGTTGTATTTAGAAAAGTATTCTCCTCTCTATTAATCAGAGAATTGGAAGATAATTTCAGAAGGATTGTGTGTGTAAAATACCAGGTGATGACTCCTTTAAAATTTTCTAAAAAAGCCATATATCGGGGAGGCCTTGCCAGTCAGATCAAAATGGAAATTTTTGGCCTTAATATAATATGCTTTGTGTGGACGGATCAAGAAATGCAAGTTTCTAAAGTGAAACGTGATGATGAAACCATCGATCTGTGCGGCTGCCTTTCCTCTGCAGGTAAATGGATGCTTGCCTGGGTAGAGATGCAAAACAAACAACCAGGGCCATATTATTCTGATCAAAGAATCATTAGATCAATGATCAAATTAAACACAGACTTACACTGAGAACAGGTCAATTTCACTCATAGATCTTCTCCATCCATCATAACTGAGCTCGAGCTGTATGAAAGAAAGGACAAAAAATATATAAAGTCTCCAGAGGTTTTTTAGATGTAGTAGCATTAAATGGTGACTCTGAATAACTTTGACCTGAAGACAAATGCTGACCACACTTCACAGGTTGGTTTATCATCCAAAATCCAATTGGAGGACATTGAGGTTTCAGGTTGTAATGTGATAAATTTTGAAAAGCTTAAGAAAAAGTTTAAGTTTATAAACTTCACTGCTTTAGTGCAATAAATTACCTCCATCTTGCTTTCTGTCATATTGAGGTTTGATGCTCCTACAGTAGTTCAGAATGGAGCAGTTTGATTATATAGAGGTCTTTGCAGACTTAATAGCTATGCACACCCAGAGTAAGAGACCCCTAGATGTTGTGCAATGATGTAATGTGGGGCTGAGACTGAGAAATTTCTGACTGTTTAAATAAAATGTCTTTGTCTTCTCCTTTTCCAGCATGATAATAACATTGTCCACAGGGACCTGAAGGCTGAGAATGTGTTCTACACCCACACCAACTGCATTAAAGTAGGGGATTTTGGTTTTAGCACAAGTTGCAGCCCTAATGACATATTGCACACGTTCTGTGGCTCTCCACCTTATGCAGCTCCTGAGCTTTTTAAAGAGAAAGGCTACATTGGACATTATGTTGACACTTGGGCAATGGGTATTCTGCTTTACTTCATGGTGACCGCCACAATGCCCTTTAAAGCAGCCACCACAAACAGGCTGAAGATTTGCATCCTGCAGGGTTCTTACTCGATTCCCTCATATGTTACCAAGTCCTGCCAGGAGATCATAAAGGGTCTCCTGAGGCCAGTTCCTGTAGACCGTCTCAGCTTGGCACAAATCATGAGGAGCAGCTGGATGGCAGGCATCGAGTACCCCCAGGCCTACCCACCTTCCAGACCTACTCCGTCACACCTGGTCGAGCCAAACCACATCCTCACCTCAGAGGAGCTAAATGTGAAAGTGGCCCTGGAGGATCTTGGCATCAGTGCGTTTCATCTCAACAACAGTTTCGACATAAGAAGCCCTATCACCGGGACTTACCGGATCATGCTGCATCGAATCCAGAAAAGGCGATCGATAGAGGCTTCAGGTTACACTCGCACATGTACGAGCGAGTCTCTGAACAGACTAAGATGGAAAGTCAGTTCAGAGAGCCTTCTGTACAAACGCCACTCTGTGGTCTGTGTCATCATGTAGCCTTTTCTTGGTGTTTGTTAGATCACATACTTTTATGTAAGAGAAGCTCTTCTTGTGATACTTTGATGTTTCTGAAAGGACACGTAGTGATTTCATGTGTTAGGAAGCCATCTGAGAATATACAGTAGCATGCTCCATGAACATATTTGGCCTCCATTTTGTCCACTAAAATAACATCCACAATCTTTGCAACTCAAGCTGCACTTTAATCAACTAAGCATGAAGGAAAGTTGTTGAAGGTTGTCAGTGACCCTTTTGAAATTCGCCCTTCTGTAAGATAACAGGAATCCATAAATATCAAAGCAAGAAAGTTTTTTTTATTCTTACATTCATGAATTCATCCAGCCATGTCTCATCCTTACCTGTATCAGCCTGTCCTAAGTTGCAGGAGTTAAATCAGTGGCCATCTTTCAGCAAATCTAAGAACTCAATTTAAAGAATGAAGTCTCTTCCAGAGGTACTAAAGTAATGCCAATTTCTTTTACTGCAAACATTTTGGTTTTGCAACAAAACATCATTATGCATCAACTTAACAATATTCTGCTTTACAGAAATATCTTAGTTCAGCCATGCTGAATGCTTTTACCAATAAATGGCTTGTTTCAGGTCATTAGACAACATTTCAACTAGATTTAAATCCAGATTATCGCTGGGCCACAAAAAAAAAAAAATTCATAGTGGGGTTTTTGGTTTGTTCTTTGGAACTTTTGCCATCTCTTGTATGAATGTTCAATCCAGTCGTTTTTTTTCCTGTGGATAATAGCTCTAGCTTCTTTGAGTGTGCAAAGACTGGCTTTGTTTTGTTTTTTACACGTTTTTGTCTTTCTTTCAACTAGAACATGATTTGGACATATTTAGCCGTGGTTTCCACTCTTAGACTGCTTAAATTTAAAGGTATCGTTGAGGATTTTCACAAATTTTTTTTAAAAGACCTGACCTCTACAATTGCAAAATGCACATGCATAACATTGTTCACACTCCTAAGAGGGAACATGAGAATGCAAGAGCGTGCACAAGCCCATTTCTCCCCGTGCACGTTCTGTTTAAAAGTTGCTGTTTGCATCGCTCACAAAAGCTTACTTTCCAAAAGAGGATTTTTCCACTTTTTCAGACTCACCACCGGTAAATGAAAATGGGGATGAGCACATAGGAAGGCCTTAGATCAACACATCACCAGAATGATTGACAATTAGGATGACCACTTATTTTGATGATCCATCTGGACAAAGAACATCCTCCACTATAACTTTAACTGATTCCACAAGGCTGGCATATTTCAGGCCTGGGTGTTACTAATGGACTAAACCATTATCACAAATAATTCATGGGAAAATACTTTTTCACATTAAATCAGATTTATTTGTACAGCTGTTTCTGTTCAAATTAATTTGGAAATATTTTGTATTCTTAAAAGGCAGCTTTGTTTGATATTAAAGCAATCAAACAATATGCAAGATTTATGAATGGCAAAAGAGTAAGAGGAGTGTACATATGTCAATATGACTTTTTTTTAAGGTTACATGTTAGAAATCACGAGTTATTGTTTTGAATGCGGTGTTAAAAAACTTGTGACACAGTTTGTTTTGTTGGAGAAGAGACTGTTATTCTGAAATTGTAAGCTTGGAAAATTATGTTGGATAATAAGGCTAATTTCAGTGTATTGCGTTTATATTTTCAGTTCTCAATAAAGACCTTGTTTGATCACTTGACAACATCAGCCCTCTAGCTGTGACTGCAGCAAGCTAGAGCTAGTTCTGTTCACATTTTTACCTAAGAATTGGATATGAAGTCAATAAAGACAGGAAATGTTTTTAAAGTGTTAAATACAATGTATGAATATTTGAAATTAAAGTGTTAATATAAGAAAACGGTTTTCTTTTTATTTGACATTGAGAATCCTGTTGTAGCTGTTGTTGCTATTGAGAGAAGGCCATCTTTTGTCAGATGTCCCATGTGACAGGGACCTAGGTGGAGAACCAATGCTGGTATTCTAAGTGAAACCCATAAGCAGGACCTTTTTCTCTATTACCAACTCAGGGCCTTAGATCTTTCTTATCCAGGGCTTGATTAAGCCGGGCATACACTGCGATATTTTCAATCATTGCACGCAGCTACAACTAAAACTGTACAATGAAACCGTAGGGTTAGTTCACAGCTCATGATGCATGTTCTCACACCGTGCGAGCCGACGCTCTGATGCGACCTTACGACGGCCAAGTGAATTTCAAACATGTTTGATTCTCTCCTGACCTAATGATTCCTAATCGGGAGGTGGTTGTTAGAGGCTAATTACCCCATGTTACCCAATGTGTACTACACGACACACGATCAGACTGAAAGCCGGCCTGATCGAAAAATTCTCGCACGACTGAAGAATCTTCCCGGAAAGGGCAAAAAATCTTACAGTGTATGCCTGGCCTTAGCAAAATGAACAACACTGAGTTGTTTTTGTGTCTGTGTGTACGGCCAAGTTTTTCATATTTAAAATAAAACAAAATTCATTTGGTCTGATACTTATTACTTACTGTTCTTTTTACTCAGTATCTAAATTTTGTAGAAACCAGGGTAAATAAAAGGAAAAATTAATAAAAGTTGAATTTAAAACATTAAACAGGCCTGTTGCGGTCAGACTCAGAGCAAATGATCGTCTTAGTGTCAAGTTTGGGTTGGTGTTTGAGGACCCAAATGCAGAGGCAGGGAGGCAGATGTGAGTTCTTGTAGTTTTAATGAGAGGAAACAGTTTAACAAAGGCAGAAGTCCAAAATTTAACTTAATATTAACACAAACCAGAACCATGGAGACATCAGGGGAAAATAATCACGAGGAGCCAGGGAGAGACGAGGTAGGAAGAAAGCAGCAACGACAGGACCAGCGACAACAAGGAACCAACAAAGAGTGAGAGCAGAGGGAGAGCATATATAGCTGACAGAGACAAAGGGAGGGCTAACGAGCTGACAAGGAGCAGGTGTGAGGAGACAACGAGGGAGCCAAGGAGAAAGGAACACACACAAGAGGGCAACAGAGGACAACAGAAAAACATGAGAACTAACAAATCTAGAAATTACAACAAAAAAGGAATTAAACCAATAAAACTAGGAAACATAGAGCAAAGTAAAGCACAATAACAACAAGACCATGACACTTAGATTGGATTACCTCTACCCACCCCACATAACACCTACTTTATCCAAGATAAAGAAGGCAAAGGCCTCAGAAGAATTAAAACCAGAATGCATTTGTTTTATGTGATGGATTAGGAGCAGGCAGAATACTCTTTTGTGATCACAGTCAGTCATAAAGAGATTTGGGTGTTTTTGTGTACATTTAGGAAAAAAAGACATCCACTATACCTTTAATGTTCAGTTCAATCTTTTCTAAATATACCACAATATTTAAGCTGAGTCATAGTTTTGTTTTTCTTTTTAGTTAAACTGCATAAAGATGGTCTCCAGTCCCAATGCATCAATTTGAGCTAACCCTTTTCCATTCTAATGTTATTCTACTATTATTATTTTAGATGGTATAAATCACTTTGTGAATGTTAAGTTTTTACATATGCATATTCCCCCCCCGTACATAGTATGATCTGCTCTTAGGAGTATGATCTGAATGCCCATAAAGGTGCCTAGTGTTCCACTAAATATACTCACTAATTAAGAATTGCACTTGCTTTGAAGATCAGCTTTGTGTATGTAAACAAGTTTGCAGATGTTTTAAGGTGCACAAACCTTTTTCAAGTTTAGGCCGGTTATATGTTAACCTTAATTGTCTGTTTTAGAACAAACAGACTGGAATAAGATTCTAAACATAAAAACTGTATTTCAGAATCTCAACAAAAGACTAAGTAACAAATAACTGATATAAATTCTTCCAATCTCTAGAAATCATAGAGCAGATGAGAGCGGATGAGTCAACAGCAAGCCAACCTAGCGATGGCTATCTTAATAAACTAAGAGGACAGCATCAATAAGAGAAGCCATACAGAGATTTAGGATGACCCTTGCAAACCTGCACATCAAAAACTATGGTGGAGAATCTGTTGACAGAAGAACTGTTAGTCATTAATCACGAACTCGGACTATGTGAAACATTTGTAAGAAAGTTATTGTTAAAAGAAAAAAAAAAAAAAAGCTCAATTTGAGGTATACCTCAAGCCAATAAACACAGAGTAAGAAAAGAAACTTTACCTGGACCTCACCTGATATATATAATGATCCATCCATCTTCTCCTGCTTGCTCTATGGGAAAGTCTATGGGAAAGAGGCTGCGTACACCCTGGACAGGTTGCCAGTCTGTTGCATGGCAACACAGAGATACACAAATACATACCATGCACACACACACACACTCACACCTAAGGACAGTTTAGAATAGCCAATTATCATACCTGGAGAGAACCCACTCATGTAACAGGAGAACATGTAAACTCCATGCAGAAAGACCCTGGGCCAGGAATCAAACCAGAACCTTTTTAGTGCAAGGCAACATTGCTACCCTCTGCACCACCATGCTGCCCCTATACATAATAAAATAAGGTAAACACAAAGTTATTTACATAAAAGAAATACAACAAAACATGGGAAAGAATTAATTAAATAAAAGTATAGAATCAACAATGCAAAAGCTTTTTTGAACTGTGTTTCATGCTGCATTTTAAAATGGACCACAGCGTCTGCCATAAGGAGGGACAGAAGCAGGTCATTTCAAAATCTGTGAGCTACAGCCTGACAGGACAGATCTCCTCGAGGTTTAAAATATTTTAGGGACCATTTGAATACCAGCACAGTGTCATTAAAGATATTTCTAAAAGCCAAAATGTATTTCCATTTTCTTTCCTTAAGCCTTAAAAAGATACAGATACCATGTGTTTTTAATGAAGAACCTGACTCCTGTCAAATAATGGTATATTTGATATATTGCCATCACTACCCAGGTTGACAGAAATATGTGTTACGACAAGTTGATGTGAGTACAGAATGTAATTCACAGGAAAAATGTTTTAGTTCCAAACAGCTTTGCTTTGTGAAACTTTTACAGCTGCTTTCATCTTTCATTTTATTCCTCTTAACTTTTACAGAGCTCATAATTTACAGCCAAATCACAGTTATAAATGTCTGGCACCTCACTAGCACATCCCCTCAGTTAATAAAGAAGTCAGGGTATATCAAATGACATAGATATTTCTGTTTTTAAAGTCTGCTGTAATAACTCATAACTATGATTTTCACACCTTTTTAAGCTTGTCCCATATATCTCAGTTTTTATGACATTTGTTTTAGAGTAAACTGCCCTTTCCTGCAATTGTTTTCATACTTTGCTTTCATGTTTTTTTCCACCCTTCATAAAAGAAGCTGCAGATTCTGCCCCAGCTTGCAAAAAAGCAAAGAGTGTAGCTCTCCTTTGTTGTGATATAGACAAGAGGGAAGGTCTGCGCCAAAATCCTTTCCCCTTTCCAAGTTACAACACAGCTTTTTGACCTGTGAGGGTGGTACTCCTATTAGTCACATTTGAAGCAGTATTGGATGTCCACCAATATTCTACATGCAATAACTGTTTTGGTAATTATCCTGCATTTGTCAGGCCATTCATCACTATTTGTGCCTGTGAGCAGTTGGCAGCATATTCAAAGAGATTCTTTATGTCTCTTCTCCTGGCTTTTAAATCCCAGTTTTATTACATTAAAAATGCTTTAACACTAACATTTCTCTCATCAGTTTCTTATGTGTTTTCAGCAGAGAAGTTGACAGAAGCTTAACTGTGTTCTCAGTCATTCTTTAACCAACAAACATCACATTTTTGATGTGCTACAACATGGGCCTGTGCGGGCTAATAATTTTTCTATTGAGACACAGTATCTCTGCTTTATCTTGCTTGTTTCTAGGATTCAGCCTCTGCAAGTCACCTGTGTGGAAGTCATCAATCTCCAAAGGCAGCAAAGTCAAATACATGTGCATGGAAAGATTTTATCAGTAGCAAGTCCCAGCAATACCCATGAAGATGAGGGAGAAAGATACCAATAAGTTAGTCCTTTAAGCTCTATGGCTTCTCAGCTAACATTGTTAATCATCTGCTGTCATATGCACTCTGTGCCTGCTTTCCTGTTTGAACTGTACTTGAAAATTGAAATATTTGGCTAAATTTCCCAATTGTGCAACTGCATTCTTGCTAAACCTAGTGAATCATTGTAATATTGGAGGAATAAAGAAGAACAAGGGGCTTTTTGAAAGTATCTATTCACCCTCTTATGCTTTTTCATGTTACAACCACAAATTGTAATGTAATTTGAAGATTTGGATTATATGTGATTTAAAAAAAAAGAAAAAAATATGTTTACCGACAAAAAAGGTATCCTATTATAGTTCGATCTATGTTATATGATTGGAAGGCTAAACTGTCAGAGGCTCTTTCCTTTTACTGTGTCAAAAAGGGTTTCTTCCATAACTGACATGTATTTTGCTAATTTTACACTTCATTTTAACTAGCTTTAACGTCCTTGTGGTAGAACAAGGTCGGGTCCATTAAAGGTTTGTATTTATAAAAATATGTGCAAACTTGATGTACATAGATGGTCTACTACACCAAGGATTGCATCTGTAAAGTGAGCAGAACAGCAGATCCAGTCTATTTATTTTAATTCCTCATAAAAATACACAGCATATTTGCTAATCATATATGCACATAATCAGAATGTGCAAAATACTGGGAGGGATTTAAGCTAATTTAACTTCTTATGACCTGCATTACAGCTAACACAATTTGAAATGGATTGTGGGTGTAGTTTACATGCAGTCCTATACTTTGGAAAATTAGCTCACAGCAAGTCTACCTTTTAAAAAATGCAAACTATAATTCATGCTATGGACTGCAGATCTATAGCCTGACGTAGTCCTACTCAATTCTAGTCAGAAGATGAGTCTGATACTGCTCCATAGAGCTGTGATTATGGGGCGTGTTTCGAACGAACCAGGAAAAAAAATGCCTCTGCACTCAAATGGATAGACCTACAACCAATAAGATCAACGGAGTGCGTGACGTATGTCAAGCGACCAAGGGAGCCAGCTGAAAAATTAAACTTTTGCCGAATCCCGTAGGAAGGATGCCAAAAACATCTTTCTTTTCAACAAATGCCTTGATCGCGTTTCTCTGTTACTCTTTTAAAATTAATTTGCTGTCGATATCTTCTAGAACAGACCTAATAGTAGAATCTACTGACCTAAACTCTCCAGCGGCAGCCATTGTTGTTGTCACCCATGCGTGCTTTGGTCACGTGGTTGATTACGTTACTGTTGATCATCCTTCCATCATCGTATAAAGCCCGCCCTGACAATTTGATTGGCCCGACCAGATATTGGGTGAGCATACTCGCGCTACTATTGTGTATATCTGTTTATAAGTTGTAAAATGTGTTATTATAGTATATTATTAAAGAAATAATTTATCTTTAATTAAATTAAACCAAGTCTCATGTTTTGTTGTTATGCAGGTGCTGAAAATTTTTTTTTTCTTCCACTGCTGCATGTATTTCATATTTTTATTAATCTATTTGCAGGGTGTTGCATCCCTCAGCCACCTTAGACCAGAGAGTGTTGTTGGTTTGGCTTATTTTCAACAATGGCTTCCTGTCTAGCACATGTCTCACTCAGGTTTAATTCTACACATTATTAAGCTGGGTGTGGTTCTATTAAATCTATTTCTACATCTGGTTTTAGCCAATTACATTCTAATCAATTCTTGATGCTTCTCTTTGAAGGACAAAAACAAGTGGACGCAGCATGTATGGGTACAGATTTCTGACCTACTGTACCATATTTATTTGGATTTAGCTATGGGCTCTGCAGCTCTGGTTCTCCTCAGCTATATGTCCTGAATTAAATTATGTTACTGCAATGTGATTGGCCCGTTTAGGGTCAGTCTTGAACGGGGCAAGATGGACACTTGTATGTTTGTGAGATCAGCTCACAGGCAAGGTTAATCTGCTTCCACTTTTCCATAAAGGCTAGAGTAGTGGTTATTTTGTCCCCCGAAATATCACAGATACTGAATAGAAATGCAACTTTCATATTTTCTTCTTTTTTAAATTTGTGCTGTAATTTGTATTTCAGTATCAGATAAAACTCAAACAAACTACATTCAGCTTTTGTTGCAACATAATTCGATACTACATTGATGCCAACTTATAAATCCTCCAAACAAAAGAGGCATTCAAGCCTGTTGCAATAAACTCCAACTTAAGATCTTTGCTGTATCATTTTATTATAGTAATCCACAAAGCTATCGCCCTTCAATAAACTTTTAGGACTGGACAAGTTATATATCTATGCTTTATTGTGTGGTGCAGCCTGTGTTAAACCTTATAATCTGACTGTGATGAAAGACAAAAAAGGAGAATGAATCACTAGAACCTTTCCGGTAATGTTTTATTTTATAATTTTTTCTAAAGTTGTCATTCTTAGATACTGACATACATTTCCTCACTGTTTGAATAAAAGGCAGATTTTGATCATTAATAAAATGATAAATACACATTTATTTTATAAGCGTCAGAGGCTAAAAGATATTTCGTCTGATAAAAAACCCCAACATATCATATATACAATCTGAACTGGGTCAACGTGCCTATCTAAATGATTAAAAATCTCTAAAAGTAGTTACTTGAAATGAGGGTGCATAGCTTACAAAAAAAACTTTTCACCTGAGTTCTAAAATTGTCAGTTCGACTAAAATAATCGTTTTGTGATGGGCAGCTATTTAGGTAACTCCTTTGCCTGGAAAAACCAGTCGCACTATACAGTTTTTCCATCCCCTTTTACTCCATAGTTTGTTTAATATTCTCAGGCTGCAGGGTTTTTTCCTTTTTGAAGTCTGCAACCGTTCTTTTTTCTTGCTCTTTGATTGATTTGAACCCTTTACCACAAACACTATGATTTCTGGGAAGAAAAACCCATCTCCTTCCTGAATAGCACAAGCGCCTTAAATCTTCTCTGACTTATAAGCACCACCATGGGAGACTGGATTATTTTCTGTGAGATTTTTATTGCAACGTACATAACACAATTTGTAATAAAACCTGTACACAAACATAAGAAAAGAAAGACACTTAAAAAAACAATCTCATTTAGTATATAACAAAGCTTTTCATTTTCTATGGCACGAGCCCTAAAAAGTAATCATAACAACAGTTTCACTCATATAATTACTTAATTGAACTGGGTACATTGCAGATGTATTACATATTTCATCAACGCATAATTTACCCTCATCACCTTTTTATAATCAAACAGCTTATTTAATATTTGATGGCAAGAGAACAGTTGCAAAGGATTCCTCTGAAGTAGCCATGCATTGGAATGTGTGTTCTGTGAATATATTCTCTGGTGGTCTTATCAGCTCCAAGGGTCTGACTGTTAACTGCAAAGTGCTGCTGCAACTCTGGAGTAGCTTTTGACCTGTTATGTTAACGCTGAGTGAAAGCAAAAGCAGAGCTGCAAAAGTTTCTCGGCCAGCCTCCTGACTTGTCTTCCATTCAGACTCCATAAAATCCTCATAAAAGCTGCTCTTTGCCCTGTTATAAAGCGGCAAAGAGCCAGAAGATCAAGGTTGTGTCACTGTGGGGGCGCTGTCCTCCTCAGCCTCTTTTTGGATGCCTTGAATGCTGCAATAAGATAAAAAAAAATAAAAAGGGCATTAGTTTTGTTTTCTATGAGTTACCTCTTTGCAAATTTCAGATAAAAATGTCTTCTATAAATACCTTTTTGAAAGTATTGTTATTCTTCTCATCAATCTTCTCCATTAGGTTCTTGACCCATTTCTCATTGGGGTCTGCACAAAACTTGCGTCCCCTCTTCATGATCAAGCTAAGAAAAGTTAGGGGATTATGTGAGATTCTGGTTCAGAAAGAAAGTGGCTTTTTTTTTTTTTTTTTTTTTTTGCACATTAAAACTTACATTACAGCAGGAATGTTGCAGCCGCCATCTGCCTTCTGGATTCGGTACTTGACTGCATGCTTTTGAACATTTTTCTGAAGACTCTTCACATACTTCAGACAGCAGTCCTCATAGGACACTGAAAGGTCAGAAATCAAGTTCAGTTCAAAGCCACCAGATTATAAAAACATCAACACTTTTATAGTAAATGTGGGCAAATATTAAAGTGGATTTTTGCCACTCAGTCATCAAAAAAGAAGAAAGTAGGGATGTTAAAGACAATAAACAAAGCAGTAAGCACTTAGAAAGTCACACATGGTCATCCTGGTAATAAGGTAATAAACCAATAAACCAGGTGTATTACATCTGATTAGTTCTTTATTCTTTGCTTTATAGTGTTTGCAACAGTATTCCCAGAAACCAGCTGTTTGTTTATTATTCATAAACTTTTACCTTGTGCCAAAGTGTAGCAGAGACAAGAAAAGATCAGCAGGAGGAATAAGGCGTTGAACCGCATGGTAAAGTCTGTGGAGCAGCTCTGGAAAAGCATTGAAAAATAACCATAAAACATAAATGCAATCAGCTTTGTCCCTCTTTTTACTGCTGATTAGCTCTTCCCGCATCTACCCACTCAAACCTTGAACTTTGGATAAATATGAAGAAATTCCTGAGTCTATCCAACAACCTATCCAGTCACACCTTGGATCAATACATAAAAAAACTTTTCTTTTCTTTTTTTTTGCATTATGGAGAAAACTTTCTCACATGTAAAATAAAACCTTCCTGCCTCCAAATGATAAACATACATATTTGTTGCCCTTTGAAACTTCTAATGCACTTCAGACTTTCTGTTTGTGAAAAAAATTACATTTTTTCGCTTTTATTAAAAAATAAGCATGTACAAGTAATCACTCATATTTTCTATTCTGCTTATGCTTTCTAATATTTAACCAAATCCCTGCTTTTATTACACCTACTCCTGCAAATAGATGACAGTTCCTGTTTACTTTTCACTATGAAATACGGTAAATTAACATCTGATAAGATCAGTAAAAGTGAACAGTAAACTAAGTTGATTATCCTAAATATCTCACCTGTAAGGGCTTTCAGTGTCGGCTGCAGCTGTCTGTCTTTGTGTCTAACCTGTGAAGGCAGTCCTCCTCCTTATAAAGCTTACACCTTGCTGACTTGCCCCCACCCCCCCTCCCACCCCTTACCTTTGTACTTGAGTTTATCTTCATATTTCCTTCTTTCTTTTTAAGGGTTCTCTAATGTGCTTTAAAGCTTTCTTAAGTTCCTGATGCACCCACACGTTGAGTTTTGTCTTATCAAATCAAACATTTGATCCCAGTTTCTACACCCCTTATCCCCAAGAAAAGAACATTGGACTTTTTAAAATTATGTGCAATAACTGCCTAAATATCAAAAAACCTTTGATTAAAAATTCACAATTAATCCTTAAGTCAGTTTGAGATACATTAGTGGATTCCAACCAAAATAAAAAGAAAAACAATAACTAATCTTTCACAAGTTTAAGGATAAAACAAAAATAGGACAAAATTACAATAAAATTCAAGAACAATGAGCTGGAATAAATAAATAAAACTTCTTTTATTATATGACTCTCGGTAGTCACCACACTGACAGCGGTAAACATCAATTAAATGAATTTTGAGACAGTGGACTCGTATTAGTACCTGAGTGTTTAGATGAATGATATACGGGATGAAGTAACAGGAAGGGCAAAGATCTTTTGAAGTGAAGGGGAACCCACTGAATACCTTTTTTGACCTTTTGGTGGCTTCATTCATATTTTATGGTGCAGTTTTTTTGGAGGAGAAGCTTATCTAGCTTATTTTCTTAATAAAAAAGAGCAACCTCTAACAGTTTTGTTGGCTGTTGGGTGCTGCTTACATTTAAGCATTTTTCTGTGCTAAATCAGAAAATAGATTACCAAATACACATGAAAAAAGTGGATCAGTGTTTTTTTTTTTTTTTATCTTTCTTTCTTTTCAAATATTTGGGTTGCAAATTAAACTTCTCCACTGTGAGGTCAATTAAGTCAATCAATCAATTATCTCCTTCCATTTGTTCATTTCTTTATTTCTCCACAGATAATAAATGTTTTTTTAATCTTACCTCTATGTTACATAGACTTCCTCTAAGGCTACAGGTTTGTCCTCAGTGACTGCTGGTGACAAAGGAAACTCCTAATGACTCCTTTTGGTAGCATCCATCAGTTTAATTCAATTTAGTTTATTTATATTGTGCCAATTCATTACACACTTAATCTCAAGGCACTTAACAGAGACAATTCAACCAGATCATACAGTCAGATTGGTTCCATCTAAGGAAAAACCAGCTGATATCATCGACTCATTCCCATAACTGATAACAAAAAATTATTTAGAATTCATCTTGAAGTATTGCATACATTGTTTTAAGTGACATGTAACAGCGAAAGCTCGTCTATCACTCTTTGATGCACAATACCCACATATGATGGGATCCAAGATATCCAGAGAAGTCAACCTGAACCGAATGAATAACACTTTCACTTGTTGAACTTGTTGTGAAATCAGTTTATAAATGTGTTTTTGGTAATGTGAGCGTCACATTTTTACTTTTACTTCATTTAGACAGTATTGCTGTTATTTTAGTTTTCTTTTCATTTTGTTTTTTTTTTTAGAACAAACTATATTCATAATCTTTAATTGATCAGTCTTTAGCTTTTTAAACATAGGATGTGGTAAACAGTGTATAGGCAATCTCAAAGTGTCTTTTAATTGTGTGGAAATTCCCGTAACTGATTACATAGATATTTTATTGTATCATAAAAGCTGCAGGCTTATCTTATCATCAGACTGTTCAATCGGCCTGATTTTTTTTTCAATATAGGTATAGTAAAAAATACATATTTTGGCTGAACTAGAAGAGTATTATGATTACAGATTCAGATTTACCTGTCGTTTCGATATCTCCACCCTCTCCTTAATGCATAAATCAAAATGGTTCTGACATAACCTTAAGATTTTTGTTTGAGAAAAAAAAAAGTTGTGAAAAGATTATCTTTCAATTCCTTTTATTTATCTGTTTTATTTGATCATAGTATTCCTATATGTTAGAGTGTTTATACTGGTAGGTTTTGAGTTTAAAACACCAATCTGGAGCTATGCTTATTGTAGAACAGTAATTAGATGCAATACTGCTTCTCTATCTGGTACTGTAGATTTTTCTGCTTTTGATAACCTTGTTTTGTTTTATATCTCTCATCCCACCTGGTATTTGCTGGATTACTATAAGAGCGTCCTTGTCTTTGTTCTGGCTGTTCAAGTCCCGGCCAGGTGACCTTTGCTGCATATCTTCCCCCTTTCTTTAATCAAATTTCCTGTTTGCACACTTTTAAAATAAAGGCCAGTATTGCCTAAAAAATCTTAAAAAAAAACAACTTTGCCTTTTTCAAATTATTCAAATCTTTGAAATAAGCATTGATGATTAACATACCTGTGTGGTCTTACGTATATCCTGTTTCGAATGAGACTCAGAGCCAGACACCTATTTTAAATACTATTATAAGTTAATTGAAGCTAATAAATAATGCATACCTAATTAATAATTGCAAACCAATGCAGAAAAAACACTTTTCCTTAAAAATTTTCTTTTTAAGGTAAGACTTATTAAAACCAGTCCATACAGTAGGAAATGTGTTCATGAAAGTGTCAAATACCTCCAGTGATGATATTTATTTCTTAATTTTATTACTTATATGTTCACAAGATTTAAAGTAAGCTTTTCTACCAAAAATGAATACTAATTTAACCTAAACAATAACAGTAAGGGCTTTGTCTGGAGCACATTTGTTAAATACCAGTTTCTTAGTTAGTTAGTCAAGCTATTCAGTAGGTAGAGTAGAGTAGAGTAGTAATTTTTTTATTTAAGGAAGGGTCGCAGCATTTTATAAAGATATTATTGAAGTAAAAGTAACAAGGATGATGCAGTAAATTTACTCCTTAAAGTATATTTTTTGTCAAAATACAACCCTAGTATTGGAGTAACACCCCACCTCTAATTAGAGTTCAAGTCAGAAGACTTGAGTCATGGCCTCTTTTTGATCTTTCATCACTTCCTCTAAAACCTCGCCTTGGAGTTTGTTATAAACCTGATGTCCAATTATACCTTAGTCTTAGCTGTGACATTGCTGCTGGGATTTACTTAAACTTGATTGAGATTGCAGATTTCCGTAGCCAAAGGAAGCAAAGCGGCCCCAGAGCATCACTACCTCACCGCCATGCTTTAATGTAGGAATGGTCTTTTTTTTAAGCATATGATCCATCATCCATACAAGGCCCTTAACCATCTAGCTTTTATGACTTCAACTCTTTGTCTCATTTACCGTACATAGTTGTAGACAAACTTGACCTGACTTTTCTAAAGCTTTTAGATTTCAAGGATGGAGCCCCTCATTGTTTAAAATTCCTCCAACTGTGATTGAAGCTATTTCTCAACATTTATTAAACATCCTTTTCTATATTTTTTTTATTCTTTTCCCTTGTTTTTTAAAGATTAAAATATATGCACATCATGAATAATTCTTCTGATTTAACCTTATTTTTAAAATGTGAGGAAACTTTACAGTGAACAGTTTTTGGGTATTCACAAAGTTCTGTCTCTGATTCAACAAACGACCTTGATCATCTCCATTAGTTATGCCAAAGACCACGCATGATTTTCAAGTGTGTGCCCCTTAAAACAATCGTAATCAGGACTTGGAAACACTTTTTTCCATTGACAGTATAGCGTATTGTTGAATTTGGATTAAAAACAAATACTAGATTTATTTCACTAATTAGAAAGTATATTGTCTAGATTGTTTTTTTCTGTCCACCACATTCCCTGTGGGGTTAAATTATTTACATTGGAAATAAGCTAATGACACTTTGCTTGATGTGCAAGTTTGTGTG